GTGGAAGCAGCCACCTCGGCAGCGACGACGGCAGGGAGCTTGGCTGAAGAGAATTGTGAGCATGACAAGATTAGATAACAAGGACGGTGGCGAACCTTGGACCTCGACTGCGAGACGTGTGGCGTCGAGAGTAGCGGAGGAGAGGCGGGCCACGAGGGCGACCAGTGCCGCCATCTCGGAAGAGGTGGAGGCAGTGGTCGCGGGTGCTGCAGTGGTGGTCATGGTGAGGGAGAAACTTGTCGTTGTTGAGGAAACTTGAGGTATTTATTTGAGACGCACGGCCCACATGCGACCGATCACGCATGAGGTGGATCCTGGAACATCTGATGGGCTCCAGAAATCCGAATCGAGGAGATCTTGGAAGTTCTTTGATTTGGTGGTAAAATGCGTAAAGGCTACCTGTTTAGGATAAGAGACTTGCAAAAACGCGTCGATACGAATAGCATGTTACCGAAGAAAGTTGGAGAATTGTAGGGAAATTTGTTTTGTTGGTTGACGCGTCGTGACCCCGACACCGTGCCCCACCTCTCTGTCTGTCACTGAGCTCGTGTTCAGTCTCGCGCGTGTTTTGTACTCCCTACCACTGGAACTTGCCTTCGCGTCGAGAAACAATGCCAAGAGGCAGAGTCAGCCCCTTGCCCGCAGAGCAGCAGGAATTCTTGCGGTCGCACCAGGCGGAATTCGACAAACTTCAGGCGGCACATACACTAACTCCCTTCTGGAGCAAAGTGTCAAGAGAGTGGTTCCAACGCTGGCCCGTGGAGCCCCGGTTGGGGCTCGCCATCTTGAATACAGGCGGGGTCGCAATCGAGGACTCCGGTGTTCCCCTCGAACATCAGCGCGCGGTCGGTGCAGCGCAGGAAGCTGATAGAAAGGTGGATCTTGTACATCGCTGTGGCCAGGATATGACTTACCGATACTCAATAGAAAATTCACAACTGGTTCAACAATCGATCACAAAGCAAGAAAACAACCGCGAAGGCGGAGGGAGGTACCGGCGTGGCGGTGGTGGCAGATGTGCAGAACTTGTTGACGACCTTGATCGGAAAACGGGGGCGCAAGCTGCACCACACCGAGATTTGGCAGAAGCGGAACCAGCAAGCGATGACGGACGCGCTGAGGGCGGAGGGGTACGAGGAGTTGATGCCGGCGTGGAAGGAGAATGAGTCTGCTGAGGAGAGAAAGGCAGCGGTGGGTCTCGCCCGTAAAGCACAGATGGCGATGAGGCGTAAAGTTGTGCGTCGAATGTGGGCGGCTGCGAAGGAAGGCGAGAAGGCGGAGGTGGAGAAAATTTACAACGCGCAGGGGAGTAAAGGAAAGATTCGGGCGGAAGAAAAAAGGTCGCCAGCTGAATATCAGGAGTAAGTGGGAAGTCCCCTCAAGAACGATAGGGCGCTGATCGTCTTGTTTAGAGGCCTCGACAGCATCGGACCGATCCTGCGCGGAATGCATGAGGTTTTGCACGAGGTGACGGGGTGGATAGGTGCGACCGTAATGACGGGCCCTACGCCTTCCCAAGGAGGGAAAATTGGGACCCAATCGTGAGTTAACCTCGAGTGCGAACATATGTTTTGTTAAACAGGTCTAGATATTGTTTTGGTGTCACACCGGCTGGGAACACGTTGGAGCAGTCAATGCCCAGGTGGGACAAGGAGGTCATGAAGCCATTGGGCCAGTTCGGGAAGCGCTGTTTCAGTAAGTCGAAGTTCGTGTACAAGGTACCAAACCTTACTATGTTCGCAGATCACGAGATTAGGGCAGAGCGTGCCCTGCCACCTACCACCACCACTGAACAGTCCAACAATCGGGCGGAACCGAATGTGAACGCTATGGCCGCCCCAAGCAAGCGCCAGCCGCGAAAGAGGCCCCCGAAGAGAACTCAGGCGGCAAACGAGGGTGGGGAAGCGATCAACACCGCCACTCATCCTGACACCACCAGTCTCGACACCAGCACTGATCTTGACACCGATATCGACCCTGCCAGCTCCAGCGTCTTCGCTACCACAAACACCGGCATTGACGGTGATACCATTCACACCCGGAATGCGGATGCCACCTCCATTGTCTTCGGCAGTACCACCACTAGCACTTACGATGATTGCAGTCGCTCCGAGACCACAGGGACCCCCAGCGGCTCTGGCGCAAGCATTTTTGGCGCCAACAGCAGCGCGTTCGACTCCGGTAGCTTCGATGACGCTGTCGCCTTCGAAAACGGGGGCGAAGACGACTTTGGCATTTTTGAAGACACGAGCACCGGCAGCGGCGATAACGCCAGCATCTTTGGGCGCAACAGTGCCGACAGCGGCTCTGGCTGGGGCACGTTTGTAGACTTGAACCCCCTCGTGAATACGGAGGCTCACGTCCGATCCACGCTACCTACGCACCCTTTCGAGCTGAGGTCGATTTCAGCGGATTCGCCGTCCCGCCAAATACTGGACATGGACGCTCCTTTCATTTACAAACCGGATCTCTCAACTACTCCCTGGACTGCGCCTCCCTCGAACAACCCCGCCCCTATGGCACTGTCGAGTTGCGCGCCGGTCCCAACGACGCCCTTGGCTGCGCCTCCCCTGACCAATCCCCCCCCTACGACACCATCGAGTCGCACGCCGCGCCCAACGCCGCGGAGGCTGGTACCGCATTCCGCACCCGGCGCACGTCGTAACTCAAGCGTGGGTGCGCCATCCCCGCTTCGCTTGGTGCATACTGCACCGTCCACTCCTACCGGAGCAGGAGCAGCATCCGCTGTCTCGACTTCTTGCCCACCGACACCTCCTGCGGGGAGCGTCGCCACCTCGACTTCTTCCCCACCGGTACCCCCTCCGGGGAGCGTCGCCATCTCGACTTCCTCCCCACTGGTACCCCGTCCCGGGAGCGTCGCCATCCAGACGATGGAAACGACGGCATTGCAGCCGGATGACTTTCCAGAGTCACAACCGATGAGTAACGCACCGCACGCAGCGAAGCCAGCAGCCCGAGGCGGTGGGCGGGGCGGTGGGCGAGGCGGGCGTGGTAGCCGAGGCGGACAAGGAGGGCGCGGTGGGAAGTCGCAGAGGGAAGGGCGAGGAGGGGAGCTAGGGGGGGGCTTGTTTGGAGGGGAGATCTCGCTGGGGGGCTCGTCAGGGCAGGCTTCGGCGACGGCAGGGCCTTACCGGTTTCTCCAGACGTATGACGATGACGGTAACGTCATCCCTCTACCGCTGGACACCCCAATGCCTGGGCCGTCTGCTGCGAGAACGAAGGAAATCCGGGAGTTTGAGAAGAAGCGGGATCAGCAGGAGGCGAAGGACAAGAAAGCAGCTCGCGAGCGCGCAAAATTTACGCAGGAATACGGTAACGTGGTCGTAATGCCTCCCCCGCCTGCTGGAACGGAGCCGCTGGGAGCGCGAACGAGGCGTGCACCTTCAAATCGAGATGACTACGTGTCCGCCCCGCTGCGGAAACGCACACTCGCTGAGATCCGGGCGGCGGCCTCGGAGAAGAAACTACTTGAGCGAGAGGCGAAGCTGCCGACGAAGAGGAAGGGGAACGCAGAGAACGAGGAGCCAGAGCGTTCGAGCAAAAGGTGAGTCGCCGACTTGGCTACGAATGTCGTTAACCTTACGTTCTTTTTCCTGCAGGCGCAAACATTGAAGATTTTTTTGAAATTGCTGCGTAACCAGCCAGCCACCGTGTAGTATTAGTATTGTTACTGTTGCCCACGTTCAACCGTGGTATCTACAAATTTTATCTACGCTTGCTTCTATATGATTGAGTCAGATGTGGACTTGTGAAAAAAAATATACATATATATTTGAGGTCTGTTTGGTATGTATAGAGCCATGGGTCTCAAGCTAAGCAGTAGGCCTATGGCAAAGGGGTAGGCTCCCCGGAAACCCTCGCCGTGTCTCTGTTTGGGATGCGGCGAGTTCGAGCCGCCATAGGACTACTTTTTTCTTAAATTTTATTTCTCATTTTCATTTTTTATCTCGCTGATCGCACACTACTCGTCAAGTACATGGTGTATATTATGAGCGGTTTTATAGATATTCAGCTACGCAGAATGTGGCAAGGAACCAGGGGGGGTATCGGAGGAGGACCCCGAAAATCTCCCAACCAACGTCTGATTATGGCAATTGAGGAGCATAGATGGTAAAAGGAAGTTTCAATTAATCATTTTGCATGTATATACTGTGGAAACGAGCCCAATATCGCGTCAATGTAGTGGAGAACGCGTAGGATAGGGAAATCTAAGAAATACCAAAAAAAACGGTCAGAATGCGCTGGTATCGAAGCGGAAAATCTGCCAGAGTGCTTTATGCAATTTACTTACCTTATTTGAAATTTCAGACGCGTTCAGAACGGGCTATTTCCTGCTGTACGTGGATGGGGAAGGAATTATGATGAACACTAAGAATATATCATATCAGTCTCATTTCTTTGCTTGAGATGTTGTAAATAAAATAGAAAGCTTACTATAAGTAATGTGGTAGTTAAGAAACAAGAAAGACGCGTTATATCGCGCCTAACGCAAAGGGGTGCCCAGGAGGAGAATTGATGTACCTGGCCCGATTAGGCGACGCCAAGCCTGATCGGACGATCCGCCGGGAACTGGTCGGGCCGACCCAAGCAATGACGCACGAGCGGTTAAATTCGGCTGCCAAGCAATGATCCGCGATCTGCTCCGTGAGCGGTTGAATCCGAGATCAGAAGCAATCAGCAAATAGGCGCATACAATGGCGGCCAGCCAAATCTACGACGATGACGAGGCGCCGTGCAGACTGGGGAGGCCATTCCCGACCTGGAGCTTGTGCAGGTATGTCTTTCAGATCTATATCCTGATTATCCGACCGTTCATCGGTCTATTGAAGCGGTATAGGAAACGGGAGCTCAGCCTGTAGGACAGTTATAATATGCCCTGGCTTAGCCACAGGTGCACGTTAGAATGCATACCATAGCTTACCAGGCATGGTACGTATTATAATACGCACCCTGTTTTGCCAGCAAATAATTAAAAGAAATGGCAGCAACAAGGATTGAACTCAGGACCTCCCAGGCTTCATAGTGCCAAGCACTATAACCACTAAGCTATCCAGCCATGATAAACAAAGTTTTGGCCCCGGCTAGGTTACGGCAAGCCTTTAACCTACCCGGGGCTGCTAATACCCAGACCTAGGGCAGGCAAGCTGCCCTAGGTCTTCGAAAGTTGTTTGCAATGCTTATTATGTGTTTTGTTGATGTTCCTAACCCTAACCTAACCAACCAACACCTAACCAACCTAACCATCAAATGCTTACCAATCATCAGCATCTACAAAATACTCTATACCTTGGTCCTAACCTCTAACCAACCCTAACCCCTAACCTAACCAGAACCTAACCTCCTAACCCTAACCAAGGCCCCTAAGGCGGGGCCACCTGGAGCCAGCAACAAGCGGATTTTGTTTATTTATGGTCTACCTTAGCCCAATCAATTTGTTGACTCTTTACAGTGTTGTGGCTTAGTTGGTTAGAGTGTTACTTGCATACTTATGTAATCTTGGAACACCTATAGGCTTTTGTTCGATCCCCGTTGCTGTCTTTTATTTCATTTATTTTAAGGTACACATTATAATACGTACCATGCCTGGTAAGCTATGGTATGCATTCTAACGTGCACCTGTGGCTAAGCCAGGGCGTATTATAATGTGGCTACCTGGACTGGTGGAAACGGGGAGCAGCGGGTAATTTTGGCTGAAGGCGGGTGGCACTGCCATGCGCCCCGCCGTGCACGGACCAGTACGCGAGCGACGCCGCCCACGGCGGACATGACCCCATTAGGCAAGTGACGACATGCACGTGAGTACCTCTAATGTTATCTATAAATCCGACCTCTAATTAGAGGGTTTATCTAAATCCTGCATACCTCTAACCTAGAGGTCGTTCATGTATAAAATCGCCGTATACGCCTGCCTGAAGTGTGCTCATCGGAAGACCTCGCTCTTCAATGACCAGTGCCACAAGGCCGCAGATGCCATCCTCGAAGACGTGCGGCGAGGCTGGTTGTCAGATCCGGTGGGAGTTGCGCTATACAACCGCTTGAGAACTGATGGGAACGGGCTTTCAATCTGGCATTGCAACCGAGGTACAAACTGTGTTGAGAATGTCCACACACATCTCAGACGGCATTTTAAATCCCTCGGAGCGTCTGTAGAGATGAGTGTTGCACTCCTATCTGATTTTTGTTATCGGAAGAATGTCGAGGTATGTTCTTTATGCCGTTGATATACAGTGTTGAACTCACAGGGCTGTCTCTACCATGCAGTCCGGGTCCCTGCATCGAGATGGTATCGTGTATGATGGCCATTACGATCCATGGATTGAAGACGACATCGACATTGTGTATCAGTCACTGCCATTTGATGAACCCCGCTGCACACGTCCCGGCTACATCAATGTCTCTCTTTTTAAACCCACCCATGAATCATTTCTCGTAACAATGCTACCAGCCTCCATTCGAGAAAAGTACAATATCCCTCCATGCGACATTCCACTCCAAAACATGGATGCAACTTCGCTCCTTCCTCTTGTCCATTTATCCGGAGCACGTACTGATTGCTACGCATTTCTGGCTGCCTCCCAGGATACCAAGTACGCGTTGACACCCATTCACACTAATCAGGAATATTCGCTGTTCAGCAAAGTAGTACGCTCTGGAGGTCTGTTTGCTTCCAGTTCAAGCAGCCCACCTAATTTCGAGGAAATGGCGAAATGGTGGTCGTCCAAAGTGGATGGGAAGTCCATATTTTTCAAGCTTCCAGAGCATTTTATTGCCCACTTCAAGACGTGGACTGCTGTTCGAACCGAACTAACCACCATGCAGTTGACGGAACGTGATCGCGCAGGTTTCATGTCCGTGATTCGCTCAGATGCCCATACCAGCATTGTATTGGGTGAATCCCTTTCCCCCGTTGTACAGGGTCGAAATTCGGTCGCTTCATCTGTAAAAATAGCCACCAAAAATCGTCAGCAGCGCCGAATTGAAGCCCCCCCTCCAGACCTGGATCCGATTCAATCACCTGAGCCTCCGAGGCCTGATCCATCCCTCTTTATTTCCAACAACTCTACAGGGCCCGCAGGACTGCAGTTCGTCATGGCACCTGTATCCACAATAACACCAATTTCGACTGGGTCCCATAACGCCGCCAAACCCATCAAGAAAAAATCATGTGCAGTTTGCCAGAGTCTCAACAAGAATGGAGAGAACTGCAAAGGACGAGGATCCCGCAAACTTTGTCCTTACTTTGGCTCAATGGGTGCAGTCGGAGCTAAAAGATGAATTTTCCTGGAATGGCAGGTGAGCACATTCATTCGATAATTCATGGGGGCCGGCTCTTGCTGACAAACTTCTTCAGGACTGAAAACTTTCTATTCTTTACTTTCTTCTAGTTCCAGTAGCTATAGTCAAATATGCGTTGAATCAACACTATGAAATTTCCGAAATTTCCGAAGAAAATCCACTATTGTTGCTTGAACTTGGGTCCGGACTTACTAGAGACATGTAATACACGTCACATTATGTGGGACATTGGAAAACCGAAGCATGGGAGGCGAGATAGAGGCGAAGAGGGTGTAAACAAAAATGAAAAACGAAAAAAAAGGTAACTGAACGCGTTTGAAACCACGCCAACTAAGCACCATTCAAAATGACAAACCGCACAGCACTCCACCTACGTGAATAAGACTCTTTGGAGTGAAGAGGTTCTTACTGTATCCATCCCTATACTACCGAATATTTGAAAAAAAAGTTTTCAAATAATTCCCAGGACATAGCACCTGGGCCTACGTGTCTCCTTCTGACTGCGATGACCTCAAGCACCTCCACCGTTGCTGCAGCCGAGCTCTTCATCACAAGCTTCACGGGTGGACAACCACAGGCTGCAGGCCTTCCGCAAGAGTTCATCACAACCTCTGAACAAATGATCTCCGATACCCTCGCTCACGCATGGGCGCCGTCAACTCTCGACAAATACACGAACGGCTTGGCCCATTTCAACTCGTTCTGCGACGAGAACGGTGTCGCCCTCGCGTTCCGGCTCCCAGTTTCTGAATTTCTTCTGTGTGCGTTCGCAGCTTCCTACGCCAGCACGCTTGCCGCCGGAACAGTCGAAAACAAGCTGGCCGCTGTCCGTGCCTGGCATATTATCAACGACGTAAAGTACGCGAGGGGCCTTCGCCTGGATTATGTCCTCAAGGTGATCGAGAATCTGTCACCTGGCTCGCAAGCACCAAGGCCACCGATCACGCCGGAAATGCTCTGGCTGCTGTTCAGCCACCTCGACCTGACCGATACCTTCGACCTTGCGGTATTCTGCACTGCCGCCGTAGCCTTCTGGGGGCAATGCCGACTCAAGGAGCTGCTGTCGAAGACAGAACGTTCCTTCAACCCCGTCGTTATCCCAACTGTCGCAAACCTGAAGCCTCCCTGCACACCGGCGGGCTCCCGTGTCCTAAGGCTGCCATGGACGAAGACTAAACGATCGAAGGGAGAGGACTGCCTCCTCGCCCGTCAGCACGGATTCTCCGACCCCATAGCCGCTGTGGAACAGCATATCCTCGTGAACAGGCTACAGACCTCGGATCCGCTGCTCGCCTACCGCACCGAGAATGGCGGTTTACTTGTGCTCACGAAGCTGAAGTTTTTGAGAAGGTGCAATGAAATCTGGGCACCCTTCGGTTTGCCGAGGCTGACGGGCCATTGTTTCCGAATCGGAGGAACGGCCGAGTTACTTCTGGCTGGGGTCCCCCCGGACGTGGTGAAGATGATGGGCCGGTGGTCGTCCGACGCGTTCCTGAGGTATTGGTGATCCTTGGAGCGTATTGCTCCCCAGCACGCAGAGCTCGTTGATAGACTTGCCGCATATCCATCCTATGTAGCACCGAGTTAAACACACATCTCTTACACCCTCCGGATTGACTTCGTCTGTGGGCTGTCGTTCGCATTCCTCCGATGCGCCTGCGGCTTGCTTCGCTCGGGTGGACTCTGTCCGCTCACAAACCCCTGGCCGAGTTTAGTTGCCTCAGTCCAACCCCCAAACCAGGGCGGAGTGACTTTCCGAGTCCTCAAACATATACATTCCACCTAGAAATCGGACCCCCGCAGCAAAGCACGAATCCTCTGTTGCTAAGTTTCAGCCCTTGTGAAACCATACTTCCGTCTCATCTCGTACCAAACCCTGTTTCTGGTACATCCCGATACCAATTCCTAGGTTTCAGGGCTGTTTCATGGTACCCTGACTCCTCGTCCCCTTAAACACTACCCTCCGACCTGTTACAACCTGTCGAAACTTGGCTACCACCCCTTCTGAGACGTGTTTGATCCAAACGCATCGCGATTATGAGGTCACGTGATGGTTTTGCACTCGGAAATGAACAACCTGCGAGCCTCGAGGCACGGGAATTGTCTTTTTCACCTGTTTCAGAAGATTTCCAAGTCCATAAAATCACCCCACTCATCATCAGCGTTGACCGAGCGAACTTTGAGCCGCCGTGAGAATCTGATAATGTATTATATTTTTGAACCAGCATTGAAGCTGCTCAGGCTAGTGAATTCAGTCTCTCTCCTGCTAGTGGTGTGTTGGAAGTACAACTGCTGTGCATGCACTGCCCACTTCAACAGCTTGGTTTCCATAGCATTCTTTACAGCTCGTCGTTTTCAGCATTCCTTCCATAGCTCTTTACAGCCCTTTACAGCCCTTTCGAAGTATATATTCTATACATGTTTGAATGAATTCCCCGCGCGTTTGCAACTGGTTCACTGCTTAATCTCGTCCTCGAAATCCAACAAGGTGCCAGGGCAGTCTGGGAGTACTGGATATGGACTTCAAATCAAGTAGTTAAATATAATATCTTCTGCTGTGCTCTAGAGCAACATTGATGCTCTGGCCTTCGGAACCAATGATTAGTCTTTGAATCTCTCTGTTTCCTGTCATTATCTCTTTTTTTTTTTTTTTTTTTTGGAGCGTTGGGTCTAAACCTAACGATACTCAGGCAGCAGAAGCATTCCGAGTCGTCCGCTTGTATTTCTGGTGATGGACCAGATGTTGCCGGGGAGGGTGTC